AACAAGAAGTGCCCTATACAGGGGATTCTTGTTCATTCACAAACAGAAGCATAATAAACAGTTTACTATGCTTCAGTTATGAATGGCCACAGCAACGATCGGTACCATTCACTCACTGGGCGTGATTAACAGGGCTCATGGAACAGATCCCGGGGCAGAACTCATGGAACAGATCCCGGGGCAGGGCTCATGGAACAGATCCCGGGGCAGGGCTCATGGAACAGATCCCGGGGCAGGGCTCATGGAACAGATCCCGGGGCAGGGCTCATGGAACAGATCCCGGGGCAGGGCTCATGGAACAGATCCCGGGGCAGGGCTCATGGAACAGATCCCAGAACAGGGCTCACGAAACAGATCCTGATCCCGGGGCAGGGCTCACGGAACAGGTCCCGGGGCAAGGCTCACGGAACAGGTCCCGGGGCAGGGCTCACGGAACAGGTCCCGGGGCAGGGCTCACGGAACAGATCCCGGGACAGCGCTCACGGAACAGATCCCGGGACAGAGCTTATAGAACAGAATAGAGGTGTCAGCTCAGCACCATCCACCAGTAATCAGAAATAATGACATCTGCTGTCTCTCCACCACCTGCACACAATGAAGCTCATCAATGATGGCTCCTGCATGTGGTCAACCTATTGGATTATCTCCGTGCAGTGCGATCACTAAGAATAGCAGAGCCCCCCCCCCCCCCCCCCGATCACTGTACAGGATATCTGCCCCCAGCACACTGATCCCACCCGGAGGGAGGATGGCCGACAATACAGTGCTTTCAGCTCTCACCCGTTTTCCTTCCATTGTGGGGCTTCCCTCAATCACAGCACTGTACACAAGACAGGAACAGCCATCTGGTTGTCATGAGAACAAGGAGAAGGACCTTGGTTACATCACCCCATGTGATCAAGTCACCTGACTGGGGGAGGGGCAGTGTCAATGTGAGGGAGGAGGATTAAACTGGGAGGGGAGTAATAGTGTGAGTGCTGTCCTTGCAGGAGAGGCATTAGATGAGCTCATAGATCTAGGCTGGGAGTGAGAGAGCAGTGTGACTGAGGGGAGATCTGACCCGTGTAGTGGGGTGCAGCGTGACTGAGGGGAGATCTCACCCGTGTAGTGGGGTGCAGTGTGACTGAGGGGAGATCTGACCCGTGTAGTGGGGTGCAGCGTGACTGAGGGGAGATCTGACCCGTGTAGTGGGGTGCAGCGTGACTGAGGGGAGATCTCACCCGTGTAGTGGGGTGCAGCGTGACTGAGGGGAGATCTGACCCGTGTAGTGGGGTGCAGCGTGACTGAGGGGAGATCTGACCCGTGTAGCGGGGTGCAGCGTGACTGAGGGGAGATCTGACCCGTGTAGCGGGGTGCAGCGTGACTGAGGGGAGATCTGACCCGTGTAGTGGGGTGCAGCGTGACTGAGGGGAGATCTGACCCGTGTAGCGGGGTGCAGCGTGACTGAGGGGAGATCTGACCCGTGTAGCGGGGTGCAGCGTGACTGAGGGGAGATCTGACCCGTGTAGCGGGGTGCAGCGTGACTGAGGGGAGATCTGACCTGTAGCGGGGTGCAGCGTGACTGAGGATAGATCTGACCCGTGTAGCGGGGTGCAGCGTGACTGAGGGGAGATCTGACCCGTGTAGCGGGGTGCAGCGTGACTGAGGGCAGATCTGACCCGTGTAGTGGGGTGCAGTGTGAGGGGAGCCCAGACCTGTGTAGTGGGGTGCAGTGTGAAGGGTGCTCTGACCGGTGTAGTGGGGTGCAGTGTGAGGGGAGCCCAGACCTGTGTAGTGCGGTGCAGTGTGACTGAGGGGTGCTCTGACCTGTCTAGTAGGGTGCAGTGTGAGGGGATCCCTGACCTGTTTAGTAGGGTGCCTTTTCCTAGGGCCAATGCATTTCCCCCTGAACATTACCACCTATGTTATCCGGTACACCTCACTGACCAATGCTTCCCATACACTCCCCAGACTCATGTATGCTGTTATCTCTCGATACCCCACACAGATCAAACTAGCAATAGGGGGACTTTAAACATGTCCTCATTCCCTCTATGAACCCCCTACTGGTCCTGGATGACCAAACTTTTAAACTCCCCGACTCATCAATGGTGGAGAAGGATCTGGGGGTTCTGGTAGATCACAAGCTTAATAATGGCATGCAATGCCAAGCTGCGGTTTCTAAAGCGAGCAAAATCTTCTCTTGTATTAAAAGAGGTATAGACTCCAGAGAGAGAGATATCATATTACCCCTGTACAAATCATTAGTAAGGCCTCATCTGGAATATGCAGTTCAGTTTTGGGCACCAATCCACAAAAAGAACATTGGGGAACTGGAGAAATTGCAGAGAAGGGCAACCAAACTGATGAGAGAGCATGGAGGAGCTCAGCTATGAGGAAAGATTAGAGGAACTGAATTTATTCTCTCTTGAGAAGAGGAGATTAAGGGGGGATATGATCAACATGTATAAATACATCAGTGGTTCATATAGTGAACTCGGTGTAGAGCTATTCACCCTGAGGTCATCACAGAGGACAAGGGGGCACGCTTTACGTCTGGAGGAAAATAAATTTAATCGGAAAGGTTTCTTCACAGTAAGAGCTGTGAAAAGGTGGAATAGACTCCCTGAAGAGTTGGTTTCTGTCCAGCTCAGTGGATTGCTTTAAAAAAGGCCTGTATTGTTTCTTGGATACACAGAATATAACTGGATACTAACATTAAGGCTCCATGCACACTGGGCATTTTAAGGCTACGTTCACACTAGCCTTGTTTGCAAGCGGCAGACAGGCGTTTGGGAAGCGTTTTTACAGCTTCCCAAGTGCCTGGGAAAATTCTGCACATTGCAGCACATGGTGCTGTTCACACAGAAGCGTTACCGTCGCTTTGCGTTGCGACAAAACGGACGCCTCCGGTCGCGTCAAGGGGAATTGAAGCCTCCTATTCAAGTCTATGGGCGTTTGCAGTGCGGTTGCGGGGCGTTTGCGGAGCGGTAACGCCATTCAAACTTCATTATAGGCGTTTGTGGGGCATTTTTAATGCTTTGCAAACGCCTAGCAACCTCCGCTAAACCGCGCATGCGGCATTTGCGGAGCATTTTTTAAATGCCAGACCAACGCTTGTCAAACGCTATAGGGGCGTTTGACAAGAGTTGGAAAAATAGTGTGAACGAGCCCTTAATAACGCCGGTAACATTAGCTGTGTAAAGTCATGTTAAAAACATTTTTTTCAGCATTTTTTAGAGTTTTTGCATTAGCGTTTTGCCACTTTTTTTGCTATTTTTTTTAACTAAATAAATGTCCAAAAACACCAGTTTGCCGCAATTTTCAGCATTACAGCTAAAAAACTCTAGAAAGCCACTAGTCCTGCGTTTTTATCCAGCCAAAAAACATCCCTGCCAAAAAAATTGATTCCAGTCTATGTGTGCATGGACACAGAGGATAACATGCTGGGGGGTTTACTAGCTGTAGAAAAAAATGTCAAAAGCCAAAGACAGCCGCTGTAAAAACATCCAGTGTGCATGAGGACTTATAGGAAAAGTTGATCCAGGGAATATCCGATTGCCTCTCAGGGGATCAGGAAGGAAATTTTTTCCCCTTCAGGAACAAATTGGATCATGCTTTGCTGGGGTTTTTTTTGCCTTCCTCTGGATCAACTGTGGGTATAGGATTATAACTTTTTTTTTTTGGTTGAGCTGGATGGACTTTTGTCTTTTTTCAGCCAGACTAACTATGTAACCTTGCTTCTGCACCCTTTAGAATAATCGGATCCACTTACAGTGCCTTGAAAAAGTATTTATACCCCTTGAAATTTTCCATATTTTTTACAACCAAAAAACGTAAAAAGTATTTTCATGGGATTTTTTGTGATAGACCAACACAAAGTGCCACATAATTGTGAAGTGGAAGGAAAATGAGAAATGGTTTTCAACATTTTTTACAAATACCTGAAAGGCACCCACGGCGGGTTTTTTGAGTCACGTCATTTTAAAAATGCAGCAAAATGCATATGTGTTTCCTGACAACTCCATGTCAGCACAGTTGGGTAAGGGCCCCACCTCCCCATGCTTTGAGGACCTAACTAATAAATTTGAGCACTCCTGCAGCCTCGGTGTTCCTGTTTTTTCCTCCCACGTGCAGGACCTAGATGTGCTCCCTTACCTGGCTGGTCTAAAGGGCTGGCTGTCTGTCCATGTGTGTGGGCTTCAGCTGGACGCAGTCCTTGGTGTACCGGCTAAGTGACTCATAATCCAGGGAGCCCTGCTGCTGGTCCTCAGGGGTGGCTTTTATCACGGCTAACAGCCTTGTCTGGGGTTCGCTGGGTCCATGTGAAGTCGGCAGTATGCCAGTGTTTACAGTCGGATGACTAAGGTTGGGTGAGCTAAATGTAAAAATGCTTTGTATCCAAATGAATGCTGCATTGCTAGGTATTGTGCCTTGCTCCCTGCAGCAGCTGTGCATACCCTGAGCTCCTCCACAGATTGTACTCTGCATAACAGGTGCATAAAGTAATACTTTGTCTGTTAACACATGGCATTAACCTGTTGGTGGCTTTTCATGTTTGCTTTACTGCTTTGCCATTATGCCAACCCCCTATTCTCAGAGAAGGTAGAGGGGTCACCTGTAGATGGCTACTGTAGCCAGCATGGCCTGCTGGAATATAGGACATCCTTTTATATTTTGTTTGTGCTCTCCAGTTTCTCAAAAAAAAAAAAAAAAAGAGAGAGAGAAGGTCTTTATAATGTCAACAATTCCCTTGGATGATTAGTGTACATTGCAGAATATTATTGCAATTCTGTTGCAGATTCCTACATTTTTGTTGCTCTTTTTGACAAAACACGTTCATCATGTCCTGCTCTCTGGCATGGCAAGGTTTGGTTCATTAACCACCTGGTGAAATCCGGCTGTGGTTGGAAGCTGCAGTATAAAGTCAAATCTAGCAGTTAACCCTTTAGGGTTGGTTACTAAGAAAGCTATATTTTTTATTATATTTTTTATTTTTTATTATATATTTTTTTCTTTTAACCTCCCTGGCGGTATTCCCGAGTGTAGCTCGAGGTAAAGTTTCAGTACCACAAGCGGTAACCCCGAGGTACACTCGGGCTTACCCTGCAGCGCTGCTCCGGGATCTCTTCTGCACTTACCTTGTCCTGCGCTCCCACGATGTCCCTCCTGCAGTGTCCCCGGCAATGTAATCTGGCAGATGCCGGCATCTGTCTTCCGGGTTCCATCCTCTGCGAGCGTCGGGATGTACGGGGGACGGAATGGTGGGAAATTTGAAAATGACAAAAAGTGACATTCACTAAAATCACATAGTAAAACATTACTGTATCAAACCATTTCACATACATTTTGTCCCTAGTGCTTTGTCCTGTGCCCTGCCTGCTTTTTTACTGTTCTTTCTGCCTGGAAACTGAGAAATGTCCATGGCGTCCAAAAAGCGTCCCTTTAGGTCAAAAGCGGTTTTAGACCAGCTAGAGAACAGCGATAGTAAATCAGAACCACTTGCAGAATTGAGTGATAATGATGTGTGGGGGAATTCGTCATCAGACACTGAAAACGATTTTGCGACTTTGCTCAGTGATGTGCAAACTTGGCGCTATATTTCAAATTTCAGTGTTTTTGGTTTGATTATAATATTGAATTAAATTTATTATTATTTTTTATGATTTTTAAATTATTTATGATTTCGTGTTTCAAGTTTTATCCTACCCGGGATGTTTACTAGACTCTTGTTCGGACAGATTTCAGTGAGTTATTCCTAAAAATTACAGGCCTACAATAAAAAAAAAAAAACATATTTCCATGCAAAAAAATATACTGCTTTGAGCACAGAAATATGGACATAATCATACCGCTAGGGAGGTTAAGCTGCTTTAAGTGGCAGGCAAAACCCTGTGAAAGGATTATCTAGTGTGGCAATGAGCAGTCTCAGAGCTTTCCCAAGCTAAGCAACCCTCTTCAGACTTTTCAAAAAAGAAGACACAGATGAACATGAGTGTGTGATGAATGTAGGTGTTTTACTCACCCTGTAAATGCGTTATATGTTCTAGCAACAAGCAGTCTAAGGCTAGGTTCACATCTGTGTGGGTGGTGCCACTGCAAATCCGTACGAAAATCTGTGCAGCCGCACCACCTGCACAGAAGAATGCTGGCACGCTGCCCGCACTGGAAAATCACAACCGCACTGGGAACCGAGGTTCCCGTGCAGGCTGCAGTTTCCAAAGAAGTGCAGAGATTTCTTCCCTTTCATGGGGCACGGGAGTCCATTCAAATGAATGGGCTCTGATCCTTGCGCAAAACGTGGCCCGCATGGTAGCATATATGTGAACCAGGGCTAATGGCCTTCCCAGGCAAAACAGCCTCTTCAGACTCTCCAGAGGGGAAGAGATGGGTGAACATGACAGCATGAATCTTGCTTTTTTTCAAGCAACCAGAAATAAGGATGATAACACCCAACATGTTGTTACATTCATTAAACAAGTGGCCAGTATACTCAAAGTTGTCTCCACTCACCCTGTGAAAGGGATATATGTTCTGGCAATTAGAGGTCTCATAGCTGTGCCAGGCAAGACCGCCTCTTCACACTCTATGAGCAGGAAGATGCGGAGAGACATGACTATATGTATCCTGGTTTAAGCAGCCAGGGATAGAAAGGATGACACCTATCAGGATATCACATTCAATAAACACATTGTCAATGCACTCTAAAGGAGCAGTTTTCACTTACCCTTTGAAAGGGTTATCTGCTTTGGCAATGAGAAGTGGCCTAGCCTTCTCAGGCGAAACAGCCCTCTTCAGAGTTTCCAAAGAGGACAATGTGGTTGAACATGACTGCATGAATACTGCTTTGTTTAAGAAACCAAGGATAAAGATGATGACCCCTAACAGGTTGTCACCTGATGCTAATACACTCTAAAGGAATGTTTCCACTCATACTGTGAAAGAGTTATCTGTTCTATCAATGAGCAGTCTCATAGCCTTCCAGACAAACAACCCTCTTCAGACTCTTCCAAAAGAAGATTCAGATGAGCATGACTGTATGAGCCCTGCTGGTTCAAGCAACCAGGGATAAAAAGAAGTTGACACCTAACAATTTATCACATTCATTGGCCATGTGGTCAATACATTCTAATGGAATTGCTTCCTCTCACCTTGTGAAGGGGTCATATATTCTGCCAATCAGCACTCTCAAAACCTTCTCAGTCAAATCAACCCTTGCCATATTCGTTGAAAGAACTTGTGGACCAACATGACTGTATGATTCCTGCTTTGTTCAAGTAAACAGTGATTAAGATGATGGTGACCACGTTGCCACAATTAATCATGGTTAAGTGACTCTAAAGAAATTGCTGAATTCACCTTCTGCAAGGGCCATCTATTCTGGCAATGTTCAGTCTTTCTTTTAGGGCCATTATAACTGGTCTTAGAGCCTTCTCAATCCACGTCAGTCCCTTCTGAATAAGAAGATGAGGAATACCTTTGTCCAGGTTTTTGATTCCTCCTTTTGTAAGGTTGATGAAATAAAAAAAAATCATAAATGTGCTATGTGTGAAAAAAAAACCAAACTAATTAAATACACTTATCTAAAATGTGAAAACAGCCATAAATATATTACATAAACAGATTCCTGTATAAAGACATTAACGTGTATAGTTCATATACAGGACAATAAAGTCCACGTGAGTAGTGACTTCCACAAATACTTGTATAAAACATTCTTTGTTCCTTGAATATAATGTTGATAATGTAAATCCTCTTTCATTCAATCACCGATGTGAGCGAACCACCACCATGTGAATAAATGGAGGCTTACCAGATGGAAAGACCCCTCAACTATAGGGGGTCTTAGTCCGCTTTTGTATTGATGAGTTATCATCCAGACTTCTATAAGCTGTCAGAACCCAAGATCTCTCAAATTGTGTTAGGACTCAGAATCCACATACATCAATGCACCATCCCCATTGCAGTGTCAGGATAATGTCATGGAAACTAAAGCATGCCTATCAGTGCAATACAATCGATTTACGCAAATAAAATCCGATGACGTCAAAGGGTGCTCCACCATCTTGGAAGCATTTTTTTTAATGCTTTTATTTTTCTGTAAACTTGTAAGTAGGACCTAAAGGGTCTTGACCTTGTGAGTGGCAGGAGACACTATCTGCAAGGCAGCTACAGTGCCTTGAAAAAGTATTCATACCCCTTGAAATTTTCCACATTTTGTCACGTTACAACCAAAAACGAAAATGTATTTTATTGGGATTTGATGTGATAGACCAACACAAAGTTGCACATAATTGTGAAATGGAAGGAAAATGATAAATGGTTTTCAACATTTAAAAAAAAAAAAATATGCGAAAAGTGTGCCGTGCATTTTTATTCAGCCCACTACATACGTTCATGAAAAAAAAAATATATAAAGGAATGCGCTAAATACCAAATCACATGAAAATGCAGATAAATACATAAATAAAATAAAAAATATATTTATAAATGGCCGTAATTCATATATTAGTCCAAACACCAAAATAAGTGATTAAAAAATCTCTTAAACAAGAAAAAACACCGTGTAGCAATATCCACTCCGAATGAAATGGGTAAACTCACCAGAGCTATTTGCTGATCAAATTATAAATCAGCAAAAATAGCAATTGCTCTGGGAGCGATGACCTGTTGGAGTATCCAGGAGCAATAGACTGCAATCAGCCAAATCAGCACACATGGAACAGCCTTAACTGCAAGTGGTCATCATGCCTTCATAACTTTGGAAATGCTCTGGGAATCAAAGAAGAGTATCATGGTGCAGTATATTAAAACAAAAATAATTTTTATTTTAGCCTTAAATATGCACTCACAAGAAAGGTGTCCAACCGACACCAGCAATATCAGTAATATCAGTCTCAAAAAGCTAAAGCAGGGACGAGCCTCGCTCACCGCGATCACAGCCGACAGTCTCGAAGAGCGTCCTGACGTCCCATCCACTAAGCCCCGCCCTACGCCCTATTTTTGCTGATTTATAATTTGATCAGCAAATAGCTCTGGTGAGTTTACCCATTTCATTTGGTGGTAGATTTTGCTACACAGTATTTCTTGTTTAAGAGATTTTTTAATCACTTATTTTGGTGTTTGGACTTATATATGAATTACGGACATTTATAAATATATTTTTTATTTTATTTATGTATTTATCTGCATTTTCATGTGATTTGGTATTTAGCGCATTCCTTTATATATTTTTTGTCACTTACCTTTTCTTTGGTTAGGTTTGCAAGTTTATATATAATTTATTGGCGCTGTGTCTATATATTTTACACATACGTTCATGGCCAGGTGCAGGCTGGGACAAAAAAATAGGCCCAGGCAGTTTGGCTCCGGGAGCACGCAGCGTGGCGATCGGTGGTGCACTGTGTCCAACGGAAAGAGCCAAAGATGTTGGCTCCGTCATATAATCAGCTGTGTCCAATCACAGCTGATCACATGTAAATAGGGAAATGCCAGTTATCGGCATTTCTCCCCTCACAAGCTCTCATGCTGACAGCTCAAAAGGAGAGCAGAACTGGTAATCGGCATCTCTCAGAGGGGACATCTACACTGATCATCAGGGCACTGATGATCAGTGTGCCCTGATGATCTGTGTAGCCCCAGCAGTGCCACCTGTCAGTGTCCATCAGTGCCTGCTGTCAGTGCTCATCCATGCCACCTGCCGGTGCCCATCAATGCCACATATCAGTGCCTACCAGTGCACATCAATGCCACATATCAGTGCCCATCTGAGCTGCCTTTCAATGTCACCGCTCAGTGCAGTCAGTGCCACCTATCAGTGCTGCCAATCAGTGCAACCTATCAGTGCCACCTAATAGTGCCAGTCAGTGCCACCTAACAGTGCCAGTCAGTGCCGACTATTAGTGCCGCCTATCAGTGCCATATATGAGTGCTGCCTTTCAGTGCCCATCAGTGATGCCTGTCAATGCCCATCAGTGCCACCTACCAGTGCCTCCACATCAGTGCCACCTATCATTGTCCATCAGTGTAGCCTATCAGTGCCCATCACTGCAGCCTCATTAGCACACATCAGTGAGATGACACAAAGAGAAAAATCACTTATTTACAAAATGTTATAACAAAAACTAAACTCCCTACTAGCAATCGGTTGCTTTCCAATCATGTGACAGCAATTCATGATGGTCACATAATCAGAAACCCTTCCCCACCTCTGAAACCCCTTAACCCTTTCAGTGCAAGATGTGTTTGCTGTATGGACCTGACAGGAGGGCATTTTACACACAATCCAGTGGCTGCAGCCATCGGGATTGTGTCAAAAACTAAGAGGCAGACTCCTTCCTGGCAGGTGGAAGCAGTTGGGTGGTCGTGCTGCTGCCCTATTACTTCAAGAGCCCTGGTGACTCCCCCCCCCCCCCCCACGCATGCTCCCACCAAGTACTCCAGGCTTTGCTTATCTATCTGTGGGCCCAGAGCCAACGTAGCAGGTGGAGGGGAGAGTGGACACCCTAAGACAAAATGGCAGTTGACTAGTGCAAATCTGCCTGAAGGTGGTTTGTAATTAATCTTAAGCAGAGTAATTTATCACTACATTGGTGAATGCAATATTGTATTTATTTGATCTCATGGATCATGAAAAAAGTAGAAATAAACATGGTGAACATTATTAAATCATGTTGTAAAATCAAAGAGTTAAAAATAAAGAACCGTTCGGCGTCTTCAATTTAGCTGCATGAGCAATAGGTTTGCAATGTGAGGCTGTGATACTTCTTCTGTATTCATCGGATGAAATTTCCATACATAGTATCCTGGTCTGTTCGTTTATTCCTCTTTATCTGTTACTTATAGTGAACATCAAAGTATATATTGAAAAATTTCTGGATATAAATGGTGCAATACAATGAATTAAAAAGAATCATGAAGATATGTCGTCATATTTAACCTTGTTGGATGCACATATGAAAATCTTAATAGTGTCTAAACATGCATCTCATTACCTTCTTAGTGGATGTACCATATCTTGTGAATGATGGATATGAACTCCAATGTGTAACCAAGAATAATGGGCTAGTATCCAAAAAATTATGTGTATATTGGTGAGGTTTCTAAAATAAATAAATAAAGTTAGTGAAATAATATTGCCCAACGCATTAAATTCAAATTACTAACCCTGACATACAAAGCCATTCACACGCTGCCCCAAACTACCTAACTGACCTGATACCCAAATACCACCCTACCCATAATCTTCTCTCCTCACAAGACCTCCTACTCTCCAGCTCCCTGGTCTCCTCCTCCCACGCCCGACTGCAGGACTTCTCCAGGACTACCCCCATCCTCTGGAACTCCCTACCTCAATCCATCAGACTGTCACCTACCCTCCTCACCTTCAGGCGCACCCTGAAAAACCATCTCTTCAGGGAAGCCTACCCCACCCTCACCTAACAACCGATCTCCTGCACTCCTCCTACCACTCCATCCCCCACAGCCACTTCCTCCTGTACCACTATTCCCTCCCTCCTAGATTGTAAGCTCGAAAGAGCAGGGCCCTTAAACCCCTCGTGTTTTGTATTGTACTGTATTGTCTCTCATGTTCTGTCCCCCTCACTAATGTACAGCGCTGAGCAAACCCTTTGGCGCTATATAATACTGTATAATAATAATAATAATAATATTATGTGATTTATCAGTGTGCCAGATATATTAATAGTGTTAAATTACCATACTGGAAACCAGATAAATTTCCACTGATGAGGTGAAAAACATACATATATAGGTAATGATGATGAAATCCAAAAATATATAGTATGAGAGTCTCTACCAGTTGCATTCAGATATTCATGTTTCCTTAAGGTATGCCCTGATATGGGTTCCAAAAATTCCTCGTTTTTGTAAGAGCAAATGCGGTTCCTTTGGAGATACGTGAGACATATGTCCCATATAAGGATTGTATGACAGATAGTATTCAATATACCTATTAGATCCAAAAATGTCCTTCAAATAGAGCTCTAAATACCCTATTGTGGCTTGGGATGTATAGTCCCGTATCAAAAAAATTTGGGTACATAAGCTTAATTCAAAGGTACTTGCCACCGGTGGAAGTGAACTGAGTCACTTAAAATCGCCCAAAAAGCTCCTTAGAGTAATTGCATGGTGGTGTTCTGTTTTGCCTCGTGTTTATCCAAGATGGAGCTGCGTTACTTGCTTCTTTCCCCTCGTGGATACCGCAACATATGAAGACGCCGAACATGATGATGTCATTACAATGACGCGTTTCGTCCGCCAATCATCGCAGACTTCATCAGAACTGGGAGGGGACATCTCTTCCATTGCTTTATATAGTGCCTTAATTGCGCCTTTTTAAAGTTATGTCGCCCTCTTGTGTTGAAATGTCATCACTACATTAAAATCCAAAATTCCATAGAAAAACATATGATTGAAAAGGAACATCAAATAAATGGCCAAATACAGTCCAAACTATTTCAGATAGTGTTCTTTTTTCATTATAATATTTTTAATTCATACTTATCAGATAACTTTATGGATATAATAAATTATATTATATTTATCTCAATTTTCAAGGTACTTTATTTTTTATCAGATCTTTATAATAAATCCTTATTAATTCAAAAATACTTTAAAATTTAATTCAGTGTTTAATCCATATGGTAGTAAAGTACCTAATGTGTATATCCAAAATTTCTCTTTTTGTAAAAGTATTTTATCAAAATCTCCCCTTCTTGAGGAAATATTTAGGAGGAAAATTCCCTTTACTTTCAGGCCTTCCGTTTTCCCTTGATGTATATCCATAAAAATATTGAGCCAGTGGATTCTCTTTTTCCTTTCCCTTTTTATTTTCATTTCTGATGTCTCTCCCGTCCGCTCTCCTCCCCTTCTTACTGTGACCTGGAAAGTGACATGTATGACATCACTTCCAGGCCACTGCTGTCACTTTCCCCAGCTAGAATAGCCAGGGAGAAATGTATTGCAATGTGATCTGCCTTGAAATACATTCACTGGAGCCCAGAGGAGACATGCAGAGTCTAAAAGAACTCTGAATTGCGAGACAAAGTCAAAAAGGTCACAAAAAAAAAAAGAAAAATTGTACATTTTATTAGTTTTTTTTTATGATGTATATTTGTGGTACTAATATATGTGTTTAATAAAATATTGATTTTATGTACTGTTATTTGTTTTTGTCTTATACCTCGGGAGGTACATTTATAGTCCCAACTCCAAGTGCTGTTGTTTCACAATATAGAGCAGTACATCTGTGAATTCATGATACCATCAATGAAATGTAGCTCCCCGACAGCAGCACTCATGCAGCCCCACAGAAGGACACTGCCACCACGTTTCCCGGTAGGCGGCATGCATTTTTCTTTGTACGCCTCACCTATTTGACGTCATACAGTTTTGAAGCCATCAGATATCTTGGTCTCATCACTCCAGAGTACAGAGTCCCAGTAGTCTTCTGCTTTTAAAGCATGGGCCCTGGCAAATTCTAGGTGGGCTTTTTTGTGCAAGGGCTTTGGGAGAGGCTTCCTTCGTGGACGACACCCATGAATGCCATTCCTCTGCAGTGTACGCCGTATTGTGTCACGGGAAATAATCACCCCAGTTTGGCTTACTACTTATTTAGCTAACTGCAGTGAACTTTCATGGTGATTTTCTTCAATCTTCTCATCCAAAAACGCTATTGTTGAGGTGTTACCTTCCATGGATGGCCTGGATGTCTCTGTGAGATGGCTGCAGTTCCATCTTTGTTATATTATTGTACCACTTGAGTAAAGCTTTGCTGATCTTATTGTAGCCTTCACCTTTCTTATGTAAAGAAATAATTTTCTCTCAGGCCTTGTGACATTTCTCTTCCATGTGGTGCCATTGCTGACAGCTGAACTGGGAAGGGTTTTCTTTGTTAACCCCTTTCCTACAGGGCACTTATACCCTCTTCCTGCCCAAGCCAATTTTCAGCTTTCAGCACTGTCACACTTTGAATGAAAATTGCGTGGTCATGCAACACTGTACCCATATTAAATTTTTATCATTTTTTTTAGACAAATAGAGCTTTTCTTTTGGTGGTATTTAATTACCTCCCATCGGGTTTGTTTTATTTTTTGCTAAACCAAAAACCACTGAAAATTTTGAGAAAAAAAAGGTTTTTTATTAGTTTTTGTTATACAATTTTATAAAGAAGTGATTTTTTTCCTTCACTGATGTGCGCTAATGAGGCTCCAGTGATGGGCACTGATAGGCTGCACTAATGAACACTGATAGGTGGCACTGATGGACATTGACAGGCATCACTGATGGGCACTGAAAGGTAGCACTCATATATGGCACTGATAGGCAGCACTGACTGACACTGTTAGGCAGCACTGACGGGCACTGATCAGTGCACATGTCCCCTCTGAAGGATACCGATTACCAGCTCTCCTCTCCTCTGGAGCTGTCAGTATGACGGCTCGTGAGGAGAAAAATGCCGATAACCGGCATCTCCCTATTTACATGCGATCAGCTAAGATTGGACACAGCTGATCACATGACCGAGTTGACATCTTCGGCTCTTTCTGTTGATCCGCTGTGTCCGAGGGACACAGCGCACCACCTATCGCCGCGCTGCGCTCTCCCACAGGAGCACATGGGAGGACTCATATGATGTCCTCCCAGAACGAAAGAACCGCCTTGCGCCCATCATTACCTCATATGGCAGGCGGGAGGCGGTTAAGTAACGCCCTTTTATAATCAACTGTCTGCTGGACACCTGTTTAATGAACAATTAGACTCACCTGTGGTTGAAATCTTATTAATTAGGATTGTTGTCTAAAATGTAGCTTTGCTCCTAAGACTTTCATTGGGGTGTATTCATTTTTGCAATGTGGTCTTGAATGAATTTGTTAGGAAACATACTTTTTTTGTGTGTGCAAATTCACAAATATTGTTTGCAATCAATGGCCCGCATTTGTGGGAGTATTTTGTAGTATAGTGTTCCATAGAAAATGTTGAT